TAGACAGGCAGGCAGATAGATAGATAGATAATTATCGTCATAATCATCATTTTTAATATCTTGTTACGTGCAGATTCTATCTACCCTACATCCACATGGCCGTCATGTTAAATAAAATATTGGTTCTAATATAGTTTTCAAGTACAAATTATCTCCTAAGAAAAGACAGTATTGGAACGTGGGCGATGTCATTGCTCATTTGAGTTTTAAGAACTTGTGCAACGGGGGAAGACTGGAAGACATAGCCCCAGGCGGGAGGATGTTTCTTTTTCCATGCGGTTATTTAACGAGGCTGTCAGTATCGAGACATTATAGCGCCGGACGATGTGGAGCACTTGGTGGAATGAGAATTGACAGGGGAAACCAAAGTACTCAGAGATAATCTGTTCCATTCCAACTTTTTCAACTATAAATCCCATATTGCAAAAGATGGTATCAAACCCTGGCCTCCAAAGAACAAATAGATGAAGTTAAGAGTTAAGACACGGTCTGAGAGTGATATTAAAATGGATTTTATGAAAATAATGTGGGAGCGTGAGGTCTACATCCTGTGGTTTCAGTATAGGGCCCAAGGGTAGGAGGGGAGGTTTTATGAACACGGTAATAAAATTTGGGTTCCGTAAAGGGCAGACAATTTTTAGTAGCTGTACGGCTGTTCTATGGAGTTAGTTCACTTATAAATTCTTGAACTGTGTTCACTTGAGTTTTTGGCATAGAAAATGGTAACAGAATCCAATTTAATTCTATTTAGGATGGACAGGAGGCGGGATAGTGCAGTCGGTATAGCGACGGGCTATGGGCTGGATGGCCGAGGAATCGAAGTTCGAGTCCCGGCAGGGTCAGGAATTTTCTCTTCTCCACGTCGTCCATACCGACTCTGGAGTCCACCCAACCTGCTATCCAAAGGGTACCGGGGGCTCTTTCCCCGGAGATAAAGCGGCCGGGGTGTTAAGCTGATCACTCACCTCCTACTAGTGCCGAGGTCAAGAAAATATGGATGTATATACCAACTTCCCCATACGCACAGTGAAAGCTTTGTCATTTACGTAGGAGAGGCAAGGCGAGTAAGTAATTCTAACGAAATTCGAAGGTCACTTCCTCTATGTACAACGGAGAGTCAGTAAATAGGTCACAAATGGAAGTAAAACAGCTGTAATGGACGTAATAGGTTTTCTATGTGTATCACTAGGTAGCAGCACAGTCCAGTTTCATGATAGTCTAGGTAGCGGACGCGCATGCGCATGTTCAGAGGCTGGTCTCGGTAGTTAAAATGGCGACCGTGCTTGAAGGGTGTACCACCGAAGAACAGCGTTGTGCTCTTGGTTTTTGGGGGGGGGAGGGGAAGTGTTTGTCGCTTAAAGCCTCTCAAAGAGAAACGTTTCGGTGATGACGAAGAAGCTGAAACGGCCCTGCGGAACTTGCTGAGACCACAGTCAGAACACTTCAGTACTGCGGGTTTCGACGCAGCGGTAAATCGATGGGACAAGTGTATCGATGTTGGTGGAGGATATGTCGAGAAATAATATGATTTTCTGCCTCGAATATCGTATATCTTACGTTTCATATCAATTTGTGACCAGACTCTCCCCCGTAAATAGATTTCTTTTCTGAGGTAGCAATCTGTATGTTGTAAAGTTAAAATCTTGCAACGTCAAGATGGTTATTGGATTGCACACGTAGAAATGAAAGTAGTAATTTTAAATCTGATGCATTGCTTAAAGAGAAAAATAAATTGAAACATTCTGCCGGAAGAAGAAAATAACTGAATATTACATTGACGTTAATACGAAGGTAGCCAGCTACAGCACGTCTCATTACTGTCTTGTCCAAGGGGCTGAATTACAGCGATCCACTTATCACCTTACAACAAAGAATATTTTATATCAACTGAACATAAAACATATGTATCTACAGTCCTTCGTTGGACCTTAGACGCATCTTCAGGTTCTTAATCCTATACACAGCCTGTAGAACTCCTTGGATGGGGGATAAGCCCGTCACAAATCCGCTGCCTACACACAAAACAACACGAATACAGAATAAACTCACACAGACATACATACATTTAGTGGGATTCGAACCTACGATCTCAACTTTTGATTGAAGGAAGACAGTTCATGCCTGAAACCGGGCCGCCACTGCGATCGACCAAACGTAAAACATAGATGAATGTCATTAAACATGCTGCAATTTCCTGCGTTGTTCTGTAGACATGCACCTGTATTGGAGAGACAGAAACCATTTTGTGCAACGGGTCTCTTTTTGCAGTTTATTAAACGACGCTACCACCAACTCGGGGCACGCGGTACCGTAGTTGGTTGAGGCCTTATGCAAGTTCGAATCCCGATGAGGTCATTGGATTTTTTCAATTGACCTAATCCTTCCAGCCGCACTATTGCCCCAGGGTCGACTCAGCCTCTAACAGAAATGAGTATCAGGAATATTCTTGGAATGTTCTTGGGGGTAAAGGGCGGCCAACGCGTAAGGCTGACAACCTTGCCGCCATCTATGAGCCAATTGTCTAGAAAATGTGAGTACCTCAATATCTCACAGCCCTATGGGCGTCCACGACCTGTTACAGGAATACCTTTACTTTTTTTTTTATCAGCAACTCATTACGTACATTAAAATTATCTCATATCATTGAATAAACAATTGTTAACTTTGTCCTGTTTGCAGATATATTGACATATGTAGGAGTGACAGAGTAACCGCGAGAAACCATAATCAGAACAGTTCGTATCCCGACTGGTACTAAAGCCAGCCACCTCCTAACACAAGTAAGACGCGTTACAGCATGAGCAGGCCTGTTCAGCTTTCATGGATTTTAGCTGATCACCTCAGATCTCTGTAGCACTTCGGGTGACAAAACATAAAATAGAAAAAAAATATTTTTATGATAGACATTGCCATCAGCCTTTTCACTCTATGATACATTGTGACGTGTATACCCATTGCTAAGCAACGGCTCTGTAACCAAGCCTGAACAATAGACAGGACTGTTTTCTATAGTTATGTTGGAGGCAGTTAAGGGTTCAGCTGTGGAGAGCTAACCAGGGGACAACGGAAACTACGATTCGTTATCAGGAAACATCCAGTTATGACACTGCAGATGAATTACCATTGAGGAGGGCTGTTACCAAGTAATGAGTAGTGAAAGTAGATTGAGAAACTTAGTGTGGAAATTAGCAAAATTTTAATAACAATTTGTAGTTACGACCTGTAAATTATGATGGCTCCTGGAGAATTAAAACAAATTATAAACTAGATAATCTAATAAAAGGAAGGAACACAGTTAATTTCATCAAAGCCCAAAGAATAGGTTGGCTTGGACACATCTCAAAGATGGAGGCTGGACGGACAGTTAAAAAACATGTGACTGACAGCCACACGCTATAAGAAAGAGAAGCCAACCTAAGATGACGTAAGGGGATATCTAAAGGATTTAGGAATTTAGAACTGGACAACTCATGCAGGACAGAAGTAATTGGAAGGAAATTGTTGAGCAGGCCAAGGCGTTCAAGAAATGAAGATGTCAAGCCTTATGAAGAAGAAGAGTAGTTACGACCTGTAAGTGGTCAATAAATCTATTCACCAATCCCAACCCCGTCTATAGTCACTACTACACGTGACAATATGAATGGCAACATCGCGCCAAGACCAACACAATATAGGCGACCTACTGTGAAGGAACACAACCATTGCTGGGGCTCACAGGATTCCACTCAAACGAAAAATTATATTATTTGTAACAAAAGATATTTTCTGCAAGAAGACACATGCATGTAATTTACATGAAGCATTTCCTTTGAAGTGACTATGGACTTAGACGTTTGCCATAATTGGCCCAAATATGTAAAGATTCTGTTTAATTATTACAAATAATATTGTTGCACTTGATGGAATTTAGTCCTGATTTCATTTATATTAAACAGGAACTTTAATGTTAATTAGTGGTCTCGAAGCCTTATGTAATATAAATACAAATCACTCCGTCCAATGTGACATGTAATTTTTTACTACGTTAGAACTTATCTCCCTTACATGTTTCGGTCCTTACGGGCCATCTTCAGAGGGAACATCATTACAGACTGGAAGCTGCTGTGATTGTGAAACGTTCGACTTTATGCGTACTGTGCATTATAGGATATAAGTGTATGTATTTTAAATCAAAACACCTATTGTGATGGTAGTTTCCAGTTTGTAATGATGTTCACTCTGAAGATGGCCCGTAAGGACCGAAACATGTAAGGGAGATAAGTTTTAACGTAGTAAAACTTTTTATGTCACATTGGAGGGAGTGGTTCGTATTTATAATTGTTAGTGTGACGGACCAGAATGAAACAAATCAAACCTTATGTGATACATGAGAAAAATATAGGAAGCCGACGACTAACCAGCACAGAAAACAGCATCGGCGCGGACATACAGAAAACACCTGCCTGCATTACTTCTTCTATTGTGTGACGTCACCGCGTACGTGTAAGCTACACGCTCTCCATAGCAACGGTCCTACGCGTCACGTATCGAGACACCTCCTACATGCGTGCATTACTTAACCACGGCTGATGTTTACAGAGTCACCTCCCAGCTGCAGGTCTATGCGCGGACCACAGAAATCATTGCTCCTGTGTTGTTGGCCGCGTGTGAGTTGCGGGCGTTGCCTAGCAATAGCTGATGCAGGCAACTCCCTTTGAGACCCAGGCTGCTATCGAACATCGTTGAATTTAATTCCGAGATTAGTTTATGGTCGCTTCTCCGACGCTATGTGACTGCGTTATGTAGCGTTAAGGGGTGGGATGATTTTATAGATGAATATTGTTATGACGTCATTCAGGACGTGCATACCAAATTTCATATCGATTCGTACTAACTGTAAATAGGAATAGACACTAGGGTGTATCCGTGAATGCGGAAGAAGATTACTGTGGGCAGGGAAATTCTCCGTTACTCTTTCAATAGCCCTATAGTTCATGATTACATCGTGTTCTTTATTTCAGATGTGGCAAGACATCGAGAGCATACTTCTGGGGCAGCCCACTCCGCCCCAGGCATCTCCCGTGAGTGTGTGTGGCTCAGGCACCATGCCAATTCAACGTATCGACCCACAGCCACATCACACAGAGTATGCTGAGGCGGACCAAATGAGTTACCAAGCCGAAGAATTCGTAGACTTGGACATGTTAATCAACCACGCGGCTGAGCAACACAGCTTCTATACACCCCCTCACCTAGACAACAAGCGGGGTGATTCTATGGACTTCAGTGCGGGGGGATATACCTGTAGGGACCAGCCTGACAGGTTAGGTGAAGTACCACAGCCTCCCCCACCACCTACCACCTACAACGGACTTATGACGATCGTTCCAGCTCATCACCAAGTTGCTTATAACCACGGTCAAATGTCACCTCCAGCAAGTCCGGAAAACCAAGACTACTCCCGTGGTCTAGCGGCGTCCAGCGTCCTGCCTCCTCAACAGAGGGTAACTAATGTTATTCCTCCGCCTCAGCTAATAAAAATAATGACACCCCCTTCATCGCCCAATTTGGCAGATATACTTTCCACCCATCAACAACCCCCTCCTCATCCCGCTTTCTTAGGGGGCGGTACAGGAGCGGGAGAAGTTCAACAGAAACCGAAGAGAGGACGTCGAAGTTGTGGCCGAAAGAAATTGACGACGCACACGTGTTCTCACCCCGGGTGCGGCAAGACGTATACAAAATCGTCGCATCTGAAGGCCCATCTGCGCACGCACACGGGCGAGAAACCGTACCAGTGCAGCTGGAAGGGCTGCGGCTGGAAGTTCGCCCGCTCGGACGAGCTGACTCGCCACTACCGTAAGCATACCGGCGACCGTCCGTTCCAGTGCCGGCTCTGCGAGAGGGCGTTCTCGCGCTCCGACCACCTCTCGCTGCATATGAAGCGTCACGTCAGTGTGTGAGTCAGCCAAATGTTCAGCATAGTAATAACTTCGTTACAAAGACAGCAGCTACTTTGTGCATTGTTTGTGAAATCTTAAAAGCGCTAAATAACCAGTCTATTTAACCTGCAGTGAGTTTCCCAAACAGCGTTTCCGTAAACCAAACGTATATACGTTATGGGTAAACCCGACTTGACGGAAGGAAGTCCGACTCTTCCGCCTGAGTGAGCGCTCGCAAAAATGAACTCCCTGTATAATCAGAATTGAACGTGATCAGTATCAGAAGCGCACCAGTCCGCCATGAGTTTCAAGGAGACTTCTGTGCTTACTAACGAAACCAATAGGTGCTGGTTGTTCTGAAGGCGCCCAGCTGTCACTACAGTTACCAATTAAAGTGAATGAGGAAATAAATGATGCATTCAAACAGAATCCATGCCTTAAGTTAGCACAAGTGCACAATTTTGCTGCAAAATGTTACCATATTGCACAACAAGTGGAAAATTTGGACGCATCCCTAATGTTGGAACGTCTCTTCTACAATGCTCGTCGTCTTGCCATAGTTTCAATCGTACACACGAAGTTTCATGTGTTTCAGTGTCGTAGTATTATTACCCCGTTCATTCCTTCAGTAGACTGTTCATGAAATCAGTCCTAGCGACAGGGCTGGAGAGTTTATGTCAGCAGTATGGTCACCGTCAGTTGTGTGTACCAAAATGGAGCTGTCTTTCTGACAGGTCTACCTATCTCTGTGGTGTATTAGTGTACTGATATATTAAATTGAAGGAAAATGTTCTATTAAAGTTGTATTGGAATGAAACAAAGTTCTTAGATAAGTGGAGTAATAAATTAAATTTAAAGTTACTGAATAACAATGTACTGTACATTAGTCGTCACTAATCTGTATATTACTCTATAGCAATTTAAGTTACCTTATGTATGAAAAATGATACACGTTACGTGAAGGTATAGTGACTAATTAAACCAGGAGAAACCCTAAGACACACATTGTTTCAAGCAAATCGTAAATCTGGGTATTTAGAACTTGAGAAATGATTAGTGTTGAGGGCATTGCAAAATTGACACAAGGCGGTTGGACGAAGCACTTGTTTCTGCGGAAAGAAATCCCATAAATGCCGGGTATGACCACTAAAATTCTTGTGAATAGAGCAGCTTGAAAATTGGGGTACAGTTTTGGGAATTATCCTGGAATGGGAGGCTCAAGGAATGAGGAGTTTGGTTGATCCGTGAGAGTTCTTTCTGTGTCCTATGTATTGTCATGGAAAGAAATTACTCTATTTTAATTGATTATCACCTTTTGTCCGACATGTTCTAATCTACCAGTCTCCTTTAAAAGAATCCATTGGGGCGATTTTTTCAACATACTCCTCGACGAATATTAACCGACATATTTAGTAATGGTCAAATTTGAATAATCTACAGAGAGAAGCTACATATTCCAGCAAGATCATTTTAGTCAGTCACTCAACCTTTTCCGTAGTACGAAAAGATATCTTGTCACTTTTCTTGGAAAATATACAGTACTTAATAATATAGGTTAACGCAACTTCATGCCATGCAGAGCCAATTAAATTTATCAAGTTATGATTTCATGACTGGAAATACAAGAACGAACCAAAGTAAACCTAACTCATTTCTGGAAGTATTAAACTTGAATTTCACACACAAAAATCTTTAATATAATGCTTATGAAGCTTAATCTTAATGTTTAGATGAAACATCCAGTGGTCATACAAAGAAAAGTGTGCAAAAATATATAATAATAAAAATAATAATAATATTGCTTTTTAATAAAAGTCAGGGAATATCTTGAGCAACGGAGAGAATATCATTAGCTCAAGAATGACTGAGCTTAATGAAATTTGTCCGTTGCTTTGATAGGGGAACTGAAGTCCATTTCCCGATAGCACGGTGTCACAACTTCACGTACGCTTGCAAACTACAATCTGAGTTATCATAATGGACACACAAAATTTCGCAGACTTGCCATTTCGATGTGTACTGAACATTATACTGCAGAATGTGTGTATCAGCTGGGATATATTGCAAGTTTCAAGTGTTAAATAAGGTTTCTCTGTATTGAAACAGATTTTTAAAAGACTCTGGTAATCAGCTTGTAATATGTTCCCTTCTTGTATTTTTCTCTTTATCTTATATGCTAATTCTTGTCCGTAAGTCATAGATATGTCAATATTTGTGTATGTTGGGAGACACAATTATATATTTACACAGATAAATGTTCATTTCAAAAAAATCTGTCGGTTAAGTAGATAACAGATGTTAAGGCAAGTTGTGAAATTGTATTGTCTTAATTCCTCTTTTTAATTTAATGTTTTTAAACGGGTTAATTGTATTAGAAATTAACACACGTAGCTATTCTCAGCCCCAGTATAATTATAATTAAATTCTGATATCCACTTATTCTTTAAAGTACATTTCTCTTTGATATTACAAGTTTGTGCTTTTCCCAACCAGTGAAATGTTGTTTCTTATGACGCATAAAATAAACTGAAATTACGTGTGGCTGGTCTCAGTTGGGACGATGTAGAGCGCTTTCTGTTAACTAAGAAGAGAAGTTTAAAATATTAAATGAAAGAACATTATACTTAGAAAGTTAATTTGGAAAATTTTGTTTTCATTTACTGAAGCAGGAAGACCGTCTTCTTATGGATGAAACTTTACCTAGCGCAGTGTCTAGCACGCAGCCTTGTATCCGGTACCGTGTAAGGGCTATGTCTCACGGACCAACATTTCCGAAAAATCTGTGACATTTATTAACTTCGGTGAAAATATCAATGTCTAGCCATGTACTAATTGTGTTTTAGTTACTATATGCAAGAGGCCATACTATTTAATAAACATAATTTAGAAAGGTAAAAGGTAAAGTTATCCCTGTAACAGGCCATGGAGGCCCATAAGGTTGTGAGACGTCGAGGCTCCCACATTTTCTAAACAATCGGCTCACACATGGCGGTGAGGTTGTCTGCCTTACACGCCGGTCGGTCTTTACTCCTAGGAAGATTCCTGGTACTCATTTCTGTCATAGGCTGAGTCGGCCCGGGGCTGTAGTGCGGCTGGAAGGATTCGATCTATTAAAAAATCCAATCCCATCGGTAATTGAAACTCGGACCTTCCTATTGCATTGTGCCTCAACCAACTACGCTACCGCGTGGAAAAAATTTAGACTAGATTGGGATAAAGTATATAAAAATTAAAAACGGATACATTTTCTTACTAATTATGCAGGAATTGAATTTTGACTCCAAACACAGTCCTCTTACTTCTTCTGCAACGTTCACTGTCTCTAAGGAATAATACAAAGTGAGAAACGTTGAAATGTTTTATAGTTTAGAGTCTTTGAGCAAGAAAGAAGAGCAGACACTCTTGTGAGAAAATCGCTTTCTTATTCATAAATTAAATCTTTGGAACAAGAAAAGTTATTCTAAGTAGAATTTAAAAATTCGGTCTCTAGCGCACAGAATATTCACTGTTTTCCATTACAAAGACGAGCCAAATAATCGCTCTTTACTGCGAGGACCTGATGAAACACACAAATTCTCGTACACTCCATGGCAAAATTGCAGGATTTCTAAAAGGTTTAACACGTGGTACATCACGTTACGGTTTACCTGTGAAAGATTAAATTGAGTAAAATTCTATCCAATTCGTAAGTCAAGGGCATTCTGCATTTCTCATTATTCCCCTACAAATTTCGCAGGTAGCTCAGTGTTGGTAAATGAACGGATAGAATCAAGCAATGGCAAACGGATAAGGAATACTAGAAGGACTTCGTGTGTAACTTAGGTTTTGGTTTCTAATATTATATGTGGCACATAAAGTCACAATTAAATGTTGAAAAATTAACACGCCCTGTATAAACCACGAACAGCCTTCGGCCGCTCGAACACTGGGGTCGTGGGTTCAAATCTCACTCGAGGCATGGATATCTGCGTTTATTATGTGTTTATGTTGTTCTGTATGTAGGTGGCGGCCTTGTTAAGGGCTGATCCCCCGTCCAAGGTGTCCTCCCGACTGTGTATAGGATTAAGAAACTGATAAAAGGGTCATTATCCAAAGAGCTGTAGAGCCATAGGGAAAAAAGGAATTAATATAGACAAATAAGGAAGGTAATTAACAGCACATCCTGCCTGCTGTATCATTTCAAATTACTACTTAGTCATATATAAGAATACATTATATTTATTATACAGTGTGCAAATAGGGATCTATTCAAATGGTAAAAATATTTGCTACACGCATTATAAAAAAGGAAACAAAATGTAAATTTAAATAATAGGGTCTTATGTTCTCAAACAGGTGGTTACGAAGGGTTTTATCTTCTGGGGTATGATGCTGAAAGCCGACCAATATTTCGGAGGAAAATGTCGCCTCTATTTTCAGTGTCGAAAAATAAGCCAAGCAACTTCTCTGCTTAATTTGTGACGATTTCTTGATTTGCCTATTCTTCGACCCTGAAGATGGAGGCACCATATTCTTCGAAAACGCTTGTTAATTTTCAGCCGACTACACTGAGCTGTATGTTAGAAAATAGAACCCTCCCGTAAATTATTATCTTTACCTTTATTATTGCTCTACAGCCCTTTGTTGGGCCTTGGCCGATTTTTCAGTTTCTTGATCCTGTAAACAATTTGTATGACTCCTTGGACGGGGGATCAGCCAGTCACAAGGCTGCTACCTACACAAGGGACAACGCAAAAACAGAATAAACGCACACACAGACATCCATGCCTTGAGTGGGTTTCGAATCCAGGATCTCAGCGTTCGAGCGAGTGAAGACAGTTCATGCCCTAGACCGCGCGGTCACTGTGATTGGTCCTCCATAAATTGCAGTCGGTAATAAAAGCCGACTAACATAAAAAGGGACAGAATAAATCAGTTGGTCACGCTTTCACCACGTAAAATTTTCGTTCTTTCTTTCTTCTATCTAACGGTTCAGTAATTTAATGGTGATAGCAATAATAATAATAATAATAATACAGTCGGTTCATGCGGTGACAAATCACTATATGTTTCTTTTGAAAATTTGGGCTGCCGTGTAAAATCAGTCCTCACGTCCTAGCTAACTGTTTGAATTGCTGATCAGTGGCTTTCGTCATTACGTCCCGACATGAAGGCTCTACGTACAGATTTACGTAGGACAGATCGAGACGAAATCGGCTTAGTTCGCCCTTGTAATCAGGCGGGAGTCAAGGGCCGAGGTCAACTGGTGCATGCAGCTGTAATCTGCTTCATGCAGAGAACGAAAACTCAAAACGCAGCTATCTCGTTGTGAACACACGTGGCAGGTCGCCTTTGACAGTGATTCTCGATGTTCCACGGGTCCTATCGTTCAAGTTCCTATCAAGTTCCACCACAGTCAAAATAAAAGTTCTGTTTCCCTCACTCACCCACGGAGCTGAGCCCTTGTTAAGAAGCCGTCAATTGTGCGACTACCTAAGTACTGCCAAGCATTTTATGGAACTCCGAGGTTCATTACCGTGTTCACAAGAGCCCTCCAATGCTCCCTATCCTGAGCCAGATCAATCAAATCCATACCATCCCATCCTAATCTCTAAGATCCATTTTAATATTGTCCACCCACCTACTTTATGGTCCTCCTAGGGGTCTCTTTCCTTCTGGCTTTCCTATATGCACTCCTCTTCACCCCCCATTCACTTTTCCCAAAAGGCGTACTTTTACAATTATCAACATATATTCTAATGAACATCTTCATTTCGAGACCTGCTGTAACGCACAGCCGGTTACCAAGTTGCACCCGGCTTCGCTTTTATTAAATTAAATATTATTGTTTAATGACACCGCTATTATCTCAGACCGCATAGCATCAAATGGCAAAGTGATTACTATATAACGTTTCGGAATTAATTCAGAAGAAAATACCATACTTGTTTCCTTGGCACTACAGCCCCAGTGGGCCTAGGCCTACCTCCTTGAACTTCTCCGTTCACTTCGGTTTTTCTAGATCTTACACATTCGGTAGGACTCCTCGGGCGGGTGATCAGCTCGTCGCAAGGCCTCTATACACAAAGACAGAAAAACGTACACACACAAACTAAACATCCATGCCCTGAGTGGGATTCGAACCCACGATCCAGGTTTCCAAGCGAGCGAAGACAGTACATGCCTTAGACCGCTCGGCTACCGTGACCGGCCAGAAAATACCATTAAGGGTAGGTAATTTGGAAATTGGGAAACATGTAAAGAAAACTGGAGCATGATGCAGATAACTGAACTGAATAGTTTGAATCTAATCTGAACATTAAATATAAAATGAAGCACAGACAGACACACAAAATTTAGCTTCATGATCCGAAAATGTATGTAATGGATACCGCGCAATAAACAAGCTAATAAAATGAGTGAGAAGAGAAAAAATACAAATTACATAAATTCCAGGAACTCTCATTTTACATTTTGTTAAGATGTGATAAGTTCCATCAGCTGAAAAGTGGAAGAATTTTGTATGAACGTAGCTTGTGTGTGTGTGCGAAACTTGGTTGAAAATGCGTCATTGTTCTCGCTAACTAACTCAAATCTTTCAATTGACACAATTCACTATTAATTAATTTAAGTACAGTGCCAAATATATATACCAGTTTCTTTAATAGTTTAAGATTCTGCATTTTTTCCCGCTTAGCGTATTAACAAGTTTCGCAGGATTCTTATAACAAACTGACACTTCTTCCTTAAACATCAGTAAATGGATGGTCTTTGTGTTTGAGATGATGCCCGTTTCTATGCAGTAGAAACCGCTTCTATGAATTTCAAGGATTAAAAATACTGAAGACATGTAACGTTCACGTTAACTGAGAGACTCGTTAAAAACAAAACAAACTCCGTGGTTTTAGTCCGCAAGCGAACTATACCGACCGAGCGACCGCCGCTTGTCGGCGAAGTTAGTGCCAACTTTAGCGGATAGAGAGAGAGACTCATTAACGAAATTTAAATTGTTTTGGGTAGACTGATCTCAATGGATTGAAATCCGAAATCTCCTTTTTCAATCGATTTGCATTCTTTCGTATGGCAGCCAAAGTGAACATTATCCACAGCATGATTCATAACGTTTTATAATAATATATATACATATACATTGTCACCTGTATTATTGACCATAGACGGGGTTTGGATTGGTGAATAGATTTATTGACCACTTACAGACGGTAACTACAAATAATTTAACACATTTCCTGATTTCAACACTACAAATCACTAACACTAAGGTAGGCCGCACACCGGCATACCGTCAAGACACGTTAACAGTCAAGACGCGATGTCTGCGACATGACGCAATGAAAGGAGCACAGTTGAAACGAATGAGATTATGAAAACCACTGCACACCGGTCTGAATCATGATGCTGACGTCAGCTTCATGCTGGCCAATCACGAATGAAGCAAGACTGGGTCTTTTGTCTCATGTCTTGATGCCTGTCTTGACGCAGTTGGTGTGCGGCCGCCCTAAGGCGTGAACTGTCTCTTTTCACTAATCATTACTCGGTAACAGCTCGCCGCAATGGCAGTTCCTCTGCAATGCCTCCACTAGACCTCTCTGGTAACGAATCTTATCTTCCGTTGTCCGCTGGTTAGCACTCCACAGCTGAACCCTCAGCTGAACCGAACTACTGAACTGCACTCCAAATTCAAAGTCAAAGTCACATTGCAACTGACGGTCAGTCAGTCAGTCAGTCAGTCAGCAAGTCTTGGTGTCTAGCCCCATCTGGGGCTCATGACCGGATATTTATTACTGTTTGACACTTACTGTCTTGTTTTTATGGGGCGCCCTCTCTGACGAGAGGACGGGTCTGTCTTTTTTTATATTCTGCTGGTCCTTGCCAGCGCAGTCTTTCTTGGGTCCGGGTCCCTTGGGACTCAGGACCATATTTTA